CATACATCATAGAAACACGGATTTATTAGCTCAGCCTGATGGGTGCAAATATACTATTGAAAGATAGGTTTTACAATATAGTTTATTCATTCAGTGTAGAAATAGAATATAACAGATTATAAAAAACATATGATGAAGGAACAAGCAAGTAAATACAAGAAAATTACTACAAATTATACAGTTTTCCAGATATTGTGTTGTATAGGATAAAAATACACACCAGATATATGCTTTTAGGCACAACAATGGAACGTCAAAATAATAGAATTAAATTCATTTCACAATTCCATTGACAGACATAATGTATCACAATGATTTTACTGCTGAGTTATTTTATTAAAGCTGTCTGGTTTCATCTCCTGATAATATGGAGGAATTGCGCTCGCTGAGCACTAACGTTACCTCATTGTTATATAGTCAGATGGGCAAACACCCACCACTTGGTTCGGTTCTAAAGTTATCAGATGATTATGAACAAGTTGCAATTTATATGACAGTGATAAATGCAAAATAAGTATATATCACACACCACAGTTACTACAAAGTGCAGGGCCAACTTCTGGTATTAGGAGCAGCTTGGTGTGACTTTGCAGTCCGCACAAAAAATGATATTACGATCACCAGGGTCACACCGGATATGGCATGCATGCGGAGAATACTCCATAAAGTAACATCATTTTATCACCAATGGATTGTAAAAGATTCTGCATGAAGTCCCAAGTCTTCAATATTGATTTTCCTTCTTTATTCATCATTTTTATAGGTAGCAAATATGACACCAATGCTGGAAGAAGTATGTGTTTTCTCATTTTGAATTACGTTAAAAGTGTTGCCCGATTCTGAATCTTGTTAATTCTTTCGTGCCCTTTTATTATTATTATTTCTTTTTCTGGTGGGTAGCCGCGTACTTTTTGAAATCTATTTTAAGTTATGCTCGACTTCCAGTTTTCTCTGCATTTTGTTTGTATGTTGGCTTTTTGTGTTGTTTTATGCCAGAGAACCAAAATAAAATGATGATGCTTGCTTACATTTTTCTGCTGTCTGACAAAGCGCTGTCATTTTCATCAGCGGCACTTGAGGTAGTTGCAATTAAAGGGGGTCTGGGGGCAGATCTGGTTGGATCCTTGACAATCCTTTCTCACTTTCGTCAGTCTCGCATGTCTCTGTATCAAATGAAGTATCTGGTGATAGATCCTGTTAAATTATGATCCAAAGTTAAATTATGGTATAAGTAATCGAGTCCCCTCCCCGATATGCGTTCACGTCACATTTACGATCACTACCTTTCAGCACCCTGTATTGGCCAAACTAGAAATAGTGATACATTCCCGCTCGGTATACATAATCCATACCTACTCGCCTACCCACAGCTCGCTTCTCGTCAAAGTTCGTCCAAAAATGGGATTTTTCTGGGTCAAAACGCCACTAGTGGTCGAAAATGACCAATTTTAGAACACGAAACCTCTTTTTCTATTTCAGGAAGGACGGAAGCATATGGGGAGGTTAAAATAAAGATTGAGCCGTGAAAATTGGAGTGGCAACAACTTATATTCTCTCCTATTGGTCGCCGGAGTAATGAGTCTCTATCTTTATTGCATCGCAGATAATTCCACGTGTGAAAAAGGGCGCTCGCGATTTCCATATTGGTCACATTTGCGATCAAGTAAAAATGTATGATCGAGACCCGAGTGAAAGCCCATTTACTTCGAATGGTGTAGACAACGTATCAAGAAAACTCCAAAATATAATAAAGCTCTTATTCTTCACATTATTCGTTTTAAAAATATTGCATGATATGTAGATTTCCGAAATTAGATCACATCTTTCCCCACAATCAATTTATAAACAATCACTTAGGGGTCAATAACGTAATAAATTATATTTACCTGCCCTGTATTTGTCGTAGGTTATACCAACCATGTCTGCGCTAAATGTTTCTTGTTGATTTAAATGTTTTTGACCGACCTCATGATTCTTAATGTATCAGCGCCAATGTCAAATTTCCTTATTGTTAACAAAATTTTTTTACGAGCACCATTTGTAAATATTTAAATTCATCAGTTTAGGAGTTGACATAGACTACTTGCAGAGCACATTGGAAGTCATCGAAAATATAGGTTTTGCCTCTCATTATATTGAACAGCAATGCGTTTCCGGCGGAGCCAAAAATAGTATATCTTTGTGGCTTTGATTACATTGAATTGTATAAAAACACTACTTCTTGGCATTTGTAAAGCGATAATTTTTAGCGCAGAAATAAATTTGATAATATTGTTCTCTGCAATGTAAACATACCGGCTTTCTACCAAAAGATTAAGATTTTTGTACACATCGCCGTGATGGGGTGAAGAGATGTGCGTAATTAATCATATGACAAGACAAGGCTGTTTTTCCAGTCACCCACGGGAATCTGTTCGCCATACTGCAAATGTATACACATGTTGATTGAATACAAACCATCGTCGTAAGTACCTACCTATTGTAATCACTAATAAAAAAGTAGGGGTATTATTATCGGTTTATCGAATGGACCAAGGTTGAGTCGCTAAGCTATTCAATTTTATTTGTCCCGTGTAGAATCAAATACAGTAATCGGGTTGGGTTGGTGAGATTCGGTTGAAAAAAAAAACGTTTGTAATAAGCTTGTCGGATGACAGTATTCGTGTCAGCACACCCAAAAGCTGATTTCGCAAACATTTTCCATACCTATGTAGGGTCTAAATCAGGAACGTCGGCGCTCCGATTGGCGAGATTTTTAGTGATCGCAAATATACGTTGTTGATCGCAATTGCCCCACTGACATGGTGAAAGTAGAGGCGGTATAAGCGGTTTTCCGGTCACGGTACCGGCATAATTTTAAGGGAAGTGATTGAGATGGATTTGTAGAGTATGTTAATGAAAAAATGATTCATGTTACATCCGAATGAGTAATTGACCTTAGTCTTTTTATTTTCATTCATGCGTAACTGCAGGCAAAACCAGTGTCTGGCCCGCTAGTACACGAATCGGATTTTTAGCCAGGTTGCAAGAAAATATGTTGGTTTTTTATTTTTACCAGTGTAGCCGCTTGGTTGTTGAATATACCAAGCAAATTCGCTTTATTTGGCAATTGGCCCTTACCCAGGTGTTTGACAAGTGTGTCATTGATTGTCCGGCGGTATCGTGGCCGAGAAATCATACTTTAGGTTTTGATCAGTTGCGAAAGCGCTCTTAGACTCTCTGTGCCTTTTTTAAAGGTTTAATATTGTGTATTTTGCTTTGCAAGTACCATAGCATTGTTTTTTAATTTTGGCGGCACGCGGGAAAATTTTGTCGTTAAATTGACCCGATTTTGGCATGCGAGCCAAAAAAGGTTGCCCACCCCTGTTCTAGGCCATCTAAAACGGCGCCTTATGAAAACTTCGCGCACAATTGTTGAAACATACCTATTATTTTCACTAATATTTTAGGTAGAAAAATTTTGAAGGTCGCATTTTGAAGGAGAATCTTAGCCGAACATGCTGATATCTTTTCATGTTTGCCGAATTACATTTATAGTACATTAAATAGTCTTTGAAGACAAGTATACCGGTTCCAGGTTGCTTCCGAAGTAAATTGGCCATTCTAGTCGTCATAATTAAACATTTGACAATGGCGTTCCTTATGACGTCACAGATGAAAAGTTGTATTTATTCGTCGAAATTGCCGGCCGACTCAACTTCGCTTCAATGGCCGTTTCTATTTTCTGGTTATCATTTTTCGTCTGTCAATCTCCATATTGCCCTACTGCGCAGCTCCAAGCTGTACTAGAGGAACAAATGACATTGTAAGATTGTTGCGGAGACATTTTATAGCGTCAAACTGGCGTATCACTATAAAATCTTTGAATAAATGACCAAAAATTGTTATACGTTGAGTTTGTGGTCAATTTAAAGCATTAGATATTGTTATTATTCTCAATTGCGTTATATATTTAGGAAGCATATAGCTTAAAATTCAAAATCCGCCCTTCGGCTTCATCCTAGCCCGTATAACAGCTGACTTATTCAATTCGGTACAACAACATGACGAAAATTTCCCATAAGACTCCATTGTTTCGCGTTTACCAAATATGGCACAAGATGGCGTCCATGAACTTGTTTACCATTAGGCAAGTTGGTTGCCGGCCGTGGGGTTTTTGACCGTCATTATCATGTCGCCTCTGTATGGTCAGAGCTTCAGCCTTCATGTCATGTCCTTCATGTTGACTTTCAGTTTTTACTTTGCAAAGTATATTCAGGATTAAATGGGGGGTGTAATAAGGCCGCATCAGAAATATATCGTTATGACTATGCACGTTTGCCATCGTACCAATTTTCCCTGTTCCGGAAGGAAAAACTGTGAATTGTCAATAACGTTATATCTCTTGTATTATAATAGTTTCTGTGTTCGTGATATATATTAAGCTATCTCTGAAATTCAGCAAATGGGTCTATTACAGTGTATTGGTTAGAGTCGTTAGACTAACGTAGATTCCTAATAAAATAACAACATGCCAATATATGAAGATCGAGCATATGGAGGTTATTAATAGCGTGGGTGAGATACATGGAAGTCCGGCATGGGAGATAAAGGGAGTAAGTATAGTAACTGAGAATGAGACTTGGATCATATCAGGGAAGCTTTAATAAGGTCAGTGGAATTAAGTAAAAAGCTTGGTTTATAGATAAAAAAAATAGAATGGCAAAAGCGAGGCATGAGCATTGCACGAATAGGCATGCGCAATGCAAAAGCACGACAAGATTAATCCAGAAGCACAAGCTTTGGGTGATGGAGGGAATATTAACAATTATCGAAATTACTACACAGAATATCTGTGATTCTGCTACAACTACGCAAACCCATGAGATATTTCACAGGCCAAACTAATAAAATATACCAAGCTAGAGTTTCTGCAGATCAATAAACAATATCCTATTAACCCTCTATTAATTCAATTCGCTAAGTATACATATTATAGTTGCAATTGTATCATACAATATATTGTTAATTCACGCAAAAATTATTATTTTTAATAACAAAACTATGCAGCATTGATGAATAACTTCGATTATAGCAAGCAGCAAAGAATTAAAAATGTGAAACCCTTGACAATTTCACTCACTTCACACAACAAAAGATGATACAAACTTCACTTTTCTTTTACTAAATTTAAGAAGTTAAGGATAGAATAGTAACGGTAAGGAACCCAATCTAATGGATCGTTATTGGAGAAAAATTAACAAATAATCAAGTGTTTTATATACAGTATTGAACGTTCTAGTTCAAGCGTAATGTTGTAACATTATAATCGTTTTTTCCAATATTCCAGTTGCTCCCGTTTATGTTTTATGTTGTCATTAAAATCAGATATTTTATCATCGGGACAATCTTTCACACCTTCTGCTATTTTTAAAGATGTTTCGATGTGATCAATACCACTCGACTTTTTGCCCAGGGTACAGATAGCTTGACCATAATTGGAATATAGATCACTGCGTGTTCTTTCAACATGGTATCCCTCCCCTCCAAGTTCTAGGCTAATTCGGAGCCCCTTTTCACTATATTCCTCAGCTTTAGTGAAGAAGTCATGGCCAATGAAATAAGATGCGGCACCCATCCAACTTAAACCAAACGCCTGATATTTACGTAGTTGTGCACCACCAATAATTTCCATTTGGTCCAACATATTATTCATTAAAACATCAAATTGATCTAAACTTTTGGACCACGAGCCAAATTTTTTCTGCAAAGGCGACTGTGCAAATTTTTTCTTTGCCTTATCGGCTTTCGCCTTTTTGGCTTTTGAAATTGGAATTTTTCTAATTGCTTCATTTAATCGAAATATACACATTCCTATTTGGAACAATTTATTCGAAACAAACGCAGTGCATGTAAATAATACCATAGCTTTAGCAATTTTCCCATTATTTAGCATAAATATGCCTAAATCTAACAAATACTTTTCGGTAATATCCGGGGAATCGGATTTCACAATCTCTGCTAATTCTTCAATGACGTTTCGAGTATTTGTCGATCCCATTCTAAGCATGCATTCAGCCAGTAGAAATGTTTTTCTGAAATCTTTATTTTCTAATTGCTGCAGTTCTGCGATGGCTTCGGCAAATTTATTTGCCTTGATGGAAATTTCAGCCCGTTCTGCAAGAAAAAAAATATATAAATGCCATATACATGTATGAGCAACATTGCAAACATAGTCTTATTTCCACTCGCGGCATTATTTCCTTTGTTATATTGATTTAATCAAGAGACTGTATCGATAAGAAAGTCAAACACAGATTTTTGCGCAAATCGATTTCAAACTTTTCTAGGAAGCTGAACGAAATTACCGCAAACATTTCTGATTTAATGAAAAACAATAGAAACAAGACTTTTGCTGAACAGATTGAACATAATCGACAAACTGGTTCGACTCTTCGTGCTCGGCTTCGAAGACCTTTACATCTCATGGGTAGGCGGGAACCTGTTAAGCTTGATAAGTACGTGCTAGGCGATTTCTGGACTATTCGACGTGGAGGGTTTCTTTTCTAATGATCGGTTACTGATGCTGCACGAACAAGGCCCAAAACACCCACCCTCATCCACTGGTATCTATCTATACGTATGTATATTCATGCGATCAAGACGATATTCTTCCACTCGGGGTATAATCTTATACGTGAATACCTAACGTTCTTTAGAGAAGCTGGGTAGAAACTTAACCTGGACTGGTAATCGGACTGGAGGTCATGGTCCACCCTACGTGTTTTGGCTTTCCACTATCTCGGGATAAATCTGAAACTGTCATGCTTATATTATAATACTTCAAGGATATAGAAAGTGAGCGAACCTGCAACATTGAATGAGGCAAATACGCCCAACCCATCATTGTCTTCTTCAGTTTTTATTATTTTCCGATCTTGCATTTCTTCTCTGTCGACTTCGGTCTTTCTTCGTTTCATGTTGCGAGTTGTGGAGTCAACTGTACCAATAAAATATATTTAAAAAAATGCCTTTATTGAGAAACTACTCTCTTGTAGTGCTACCTAGTAAGAATGAGATTATCAAAAGGTATCGATATATCTGAATGATCATTGATATTATTTACCGCTCAATTTTAATAAAGCCATTGCTTGTGCGTATAGTATGGGACATGTCGCAATATATAGCAATACATACATATAGCGATATACACTATAGCAGCGGTTCCTAAATTGTGCGTCTCGACCAACGAGTTGCAAGATAATTTCGAGTACGGTACATTGCGAATCAATTTGTTAAAAATTAACTCGACTTAAAATGATCAAATCTGTTAAAATTACCACCGGGAGAGATGTGTGTCGCGATATTAGATATTAGGTCGCATTATGGTTGTTTAATGAGCGCTGCCGTAGTATGTGAACCAAGATGGCGGAAACCGGAACGAAGTAGGTGTACAGGTCAGGGTTAGGACATAATGTTATTCCAGTTTTCTTTATTTTTTTCTATTAAGAGTTCGGGGACTAGCCAAGTGACTACCGTAGTATTTGTACCTGAAACTATGGCCTAACCTGGTATACATACTACGTTCCGGTGTACGCCATCTTGGTTTACATACTACATGAGTACCGCATAATGAACACATAAACAATTCCAGGACGTGTCACATTATTTAAACGTGTATTTATTGTAAAGGTTTTCCTTGTCGTGATTTGATTAGTAGTATAGTTACCCCTGCTCGACGATGCCAATTCTTTGACTTTGGTATCTTCATCATAGAAAGATGGGTTCTCAGTATTTGTTGATTGTCCATCGATTTCTGGCGCGCCATATTTTTGACCTATTTTAAAAAATACAAAGAATTTCAAGTTGGTTTGGCTAAAAATAGTAAACATACAATCATTTTAAGCTCGCGAGCACCCACCTTTTTGCGGAGTACGTATTCACACAAGGTTTCCAGTAACTGCCGTTATTTTTTTTTTTGTAAATAAAAGATGGAGAAACTGTGTATATTTTAAATTTAAACACGTTCAGCCAATGTGAGTTATTTAAGCAAATATTTATAGATTAATGAATAAGGGAAAGTGGTTGAAACTTAGGGGGGGAGGGTTGACTTGGATGGCCGTATAGCGCAGCGGTCGGCAACCTTTTTAAGCGACGGACCTTTGAAGCTTGACCAAAATTTTGGCGGACCATCTTTGTGTTGACAATATATTCAAAACACAGGTGATGCAATTTATTGCAAAATTTGCATTTGTTTGCTGGCCATTAATTGTTTCCAATTAGGAGGCAAGGTCGACAGTGATACACGTTACGTGTTTCTAACATCAGCATACTCCGGTATTTTTTTTTGTAGTTGTCAATATTGAAAAACCGACCTCGCATGAGGAGAAAGGTATGTTTTTAGACCATCTATCTGCCGACCGGTACTAATTTTTCCGCGGGCGATGGGCCACGGCCCGGTGGTTGCCGACCACTGGTATAGCGTATCTCTCCCTCCAGTCATTACCTTAAAAAACATTGTGTCGATTCATTGTATGTATGCTTCCATTTATTTGTTTTTGGGTTGACAAGTCAATACATTTGTCTATCTTCAAATGTTGAGAATATAAAAGAAATCGACACTCAAACTACTCACTTTCAATTCCACTGTCATTTGTAGATTTATTATCAACATACTCATTAGTGTGATCATATTCTTCCATGATGTGAGTTTCTTCTGACTCCGATTTTTTCTGGTTAACGCTGTCTGTAACAAAATAAATACGTCGACGTTAGGTTTGACCGCAAATTGACCGCAAAAAAAAAAAAAAACGCAGACTAGGAAATAGACATATGACTTCCCTCACACGGCGGATTACAATAACTTTTCTTTACAATTGTGCTGAACTCATATTTGTTGGGTATTTATGGCTTCTTCCAATCCAATGCAACTGGAACAAATGACTGGTTAATTTCATATTGGACCCGGACTTGTAACCGAGTGGTATTGTTCCACATTTGATAGGTTCATCTGATCGGATTTCCTCTCCGAAATAGGAACAGCACTAGCCATGTCTAAGGTTAGTGTCTCGGATGGAGTTAAATAAATTTTTCATATAATTTAAAAAAAGAAAAGTCCATCCAAAATCAATAGGCCTCTGATCCGAGCTATGATGAATGCACATGCACAATTTAGAGCAGATTCAACCTCGCTTTCGTGAGATATCGCGTGCATCTAACACACAGACAAACAGACAGACAAATACCTTTCAACATCTTAAGATCGATAAGTAATAACAAAGCGGAACCATCATTTAGTCAGAGTTATATAACAATCAGAGTTATATATTGGAATGGCTAGTCAAGTAATTGTCCCGAATTTATAAGTGGCGATGGAAGCCGTCACTGCGTAACCGAAAAGCGGTTATTTGAGACGCCCTGTAAAGCAGGGGTCTCCAACTCAAACCAAGTCGCGGGCCACTTTTTAAAAGTTATTGACCACGCGGGCCGCAAACCAAGAAATTAGGTACAAAAATGGGTAAGACAGCATGCAAATAGTCGTCCGTTAGTCGTGTGCGGAGGGCTGACTTGCAAACTTTCTTGGTTAAAAAAACAAAATATAAGAACCGCCAAGCATCGCAGGTATGGAACGTGAATTTGCAATTAGCTTTGAAAACCTCATTTCGGGCACAATGGACTGACCGAAACTCGTTTATCACGTCACAATGAACATGCAATAAATGTTGCTGGATATTTATGTCAAAATATTTTCTCTAGTATTTAACATTTTTTATGCTGAAAACATGTGTTTTAGAATTCGACAACGAAAGTGTTTCATACGGGTTTTCATTTTTGACATTGCCTCGCCTTTTCAATGTAATTGGCGGAAAGTTGACTAAGTAGCCGGGTTACGACGTGGAGGACTGTAAGTAGGGTATAGCTATTCAATTAATATAAAAATTTAGCTCCACCGCATGTCTTGTAACATTCGCTACTCAAAATGAGAAGACAAGAGACTGGTATCAGGTTGTGGTAACTTAAACGAGACAAAATATATACCAGAAATTCTTCCATTTGGCGGATCATTCGGTGGGAACTGACGATTTCTTGTTGGCAAATCGTCTTCAGGTTGACTTGTAACTGGAGGTGGTGGCGATGGTGGTCGAGGTGGCTGTTGTGTAGGTTGATCGCCATTGTTGTTAGGTTCGCTCAGATTCTGGGAGCCGTTTCCTGAAATATGGAATGAAACGAAAAATAATAAATATCACACGATTCTGTGTTAATGTCTAAATTGAAAATATATCGATGCTAAAAAATAAAGAGTGACAAGTCCAATTTGCCACACACATGTCCGAGAGGGACAATAACGCGGCAAGTGAGTATGGGGCAAGTGTTGCAAAGTGTGACAACAGTGCTACCTGTATGGCCAAAATGAGATACCCACTTTGCCACACTTGTCCATGTGGAATGAGTACGAGACAAGTGTGGCAAGGTGGGTCAATCGTTAAGCAAGTAGAAAGAGTGTTCTACGAATTGAAAAAACTGTGCACGGCAATTTTGATATAGCGGAAAATATGCCCCAATTACAAATGAATTTTCTAACAGTCCTTTATTTTTCCTACGGCACTATACAAGACTCTGTGCCCTTGCACCCACTTGTATCTAACAATATGTAACAAGCCATTATAATTTGGAATACCGGTTTGGCATTGCTTACCCAACTTATTACCCTGGGGATGAGATGGTCTGGGATTCAAACCCGGCATGTGTGATCTGCGATGCCGAAAAGTTGAGTCGAATGCTTCAACCACTAGGGCTAGGCCATCAAGCACATCATCATGTCAGGGTGGTCCAAACTGCGGGCCGCATGCTGCCCGCCGACACATTCCGTGCGGCCCGCAAAACAATTTTAGCGTACACTACTAAACCATTGGCAGATATTTGTATTTATTAGCAGAACAATTTTGATTTATTCTTAAACCATTTCAACTGGGAATATTTCTTTACCTAATCCCGATGTCGGAATTGATGTTTGTTAAAATCACTGAATTTCATCGTTGTATCTATAAACGTCTTGACGGTGGCTATATGGGAATGGCGTCTTGTGATCGTTAAAAGAAGAATGAATTGGCTTGTGCAGGGAGGAACAAGCCGGTGAGATGAGCTCGCGTCAAGTAACTCCTCATTTGAAGAGACGTTTTGTGCCTTTATCTTACTCAAAACATTCCTCTAATTTCAAGCGTTGGGCATGTGACAGCAGTGACGAACCACAGAGCTGACTTAGCGCCGTACAATCCAGTTAGTTATTTTATCTGGATCCGAGATCCCTACTTAGACGGACTTAGTTGTTTTTTAACGGTAGCACTAGGCCTAAATTCATCATACAATAAGTGTAGAAAAAAGGTGGCCGAAGTAAACTGAGAGTTAACGTATTTTCTTACCCATAACAACATTAAACCACAGTGTCTGGTGTGTTTTCAAGTAATTTATGTCACGAAAGATTATAATTTTAAGCGACATTACAAAACCAAACACGAGAAAAGATACCGAAAATACAACAATATTTCTCGGGAAGCAATTTTGAAATAACTACTAAGTATAGTTTCTTTTGAAAACTGATTAGAGCGATAAACTCTCATTCTCAAATATATCTAAAGGGAGGAAACTCGCGAGATGACCGAATCTTGCATTGAAGTGGCGGACCTCCTGAAGTATGCGCACCACCTGAACTCAGTTTGTGTACCAGGTTAGGGTTCAGGTTATGCGACATCTTGGTGCGCATACTTCAGGAGTACCGAAGTGCCTATATATTACATTGAAAAGTTATATTATGCTATTACTTAGTGTAAAATAATCAGCTTACTCACCTTGATTGATATTAATGGTTATTTGATTTCCACCTGAAATGTTAACAAATTTAATGATTTATTGAGATAACAGAAACTTGATAATTAGAATTATACTGAGTTGTTTATAGAATGTGAAAATTTCACTTGATCATACATGGTGAAATAAAGAAGAGAATGTAAGAACGATCGCAAAAATCTGATTCAGATATCTGTTTTATACGAGTCACAACAAAAACTATTCTTTGATCAAAACCCAAATACGTTAATAGTTAAAAAGTAAAATCTTTAGTTTGACTCACTTTCGTTTCGCACGTTAACGCTCATTTTGTCTGTATATCTCGGTTCTGCACGATGATGTTTTTTATTTAAAACATGTTTATTCAAAGTTTGTAACTATGCTCTGCAGAAAGTAACATATAGTTAGAATTTTACAATATCTCCCTGATATGTTCATAATCTGTTTCTAATGAAACCATTGCCGTAATACGAAGAACATAAGTTTAACATGCAACACAGATATCCGTCGACGAAAGCTAACAAGACTGAACTGAATTTGTCTCGATAAAAATTTCCAGATATCCTGGAAGTAACAATGCGTTATCAGACAAGCGCACGCCGCATTCGAGCAACGAAATATAAAATCATTATTGCGCTTGATAATTGCATTATAATAAGACGAGATTCCGTGTTTTGAAGTGAACAAATATTCAATTTAAAAACTTTGGGGGAAATACTATCACGATGCTATCGGCATCAAACTTTTGCACGATGGAAGGTGAACTTAGTCCAATGGTAGTTAAATAGCTTTAGTCCTTACTGAAAAGTTTCCGTTTTTTTTAATCAAATCTATCTCATGTCCCTCATAGCTTTTTGCACGAAGTACGAAGCGTATAAAATAAAGCTATTTGCGGTCATCAGCGTGCATACCTCCAAGAGTCTTCAGAAAATTGCATATTTTAATGGGCATTTGCTCGAAGCTATGTAATGCTCATATTGCTGGCCTGCTGGGCATTTTCGAACATTTTTTTCGAATCTCAAATACTTGGGAGATGATCTCTGAACCAAGTTGGGGACCACGTTCAACACTATATATTAAATGTGCGGAATGTAATAGATCTGATAGTTGAAAGCTTACATTGGCATCGTTTGAGGCGCTTATTTCCTCAAACTTGCTCTGTCATTGTGCAAATTGCATCGCCGATGAGTACGGGATTTAGGTAGTCTGAAAAGCACAACAAACCATCAATCTAACACCCATTCCATTAAAAAAAAATCCTAATAAGCCTGTGTTTGTAGACGTTTAAGTCCATTCTCTCGAAAATATCTCTGGGTAATTTATTTTCTTTGAGCTAGCTGTTCAAGAAGCCTATAGCTGACCAATATATTTGAATCCGGTGGTTCCAATTTGGATTGGTGAATTGGTAGGCATTATTGTGAGCCCACGAATTTGGCATGTTTAACTACTCATGTCTCTTAAGTGCCTATAAATTGGCCCTATATAAACAACAAACTAAAACTTTTTGCGTAGCTAAGACTTTTATATAGAGAAAATAAGTCAACTCATGAACAATGAAACTCGCATTCGTTATTTTCCGGAAATGACTGTAAATTTACAAATCTCAATTAGAACTACCAGACACATGTGTAGAGTAACTAGCTGATTTGAAAATAATATTAACTTGCTGTCTATAAGGCAGCCATCTGTCTAGCCATATTATTAACTTATACCTGATAGAAATCTAAATTAACCAAGAATTAAAGTAGTTAATAACTACACAGGTTACAAATTAAGTTATGACTGATTGAGCATGATAATTGAAATGCGAAAAATGTCACTTTAGGTATTTGGACCGCCAAATTGCGGGAAACAATCTTGAAAATAACTGAAATATATCGAATCAAACACGCCGTACCTCGAACACACTCTATATACTGAAGGCGACGGTAAAATAAGAATCAACTGGATTAGCTTCAAATCATTTCTAACCCTTGTAACATAGACTGACACCAATGATACTGAACTGAATTTGTCTGATAAATATTTGTTAACGTTATTGTAACTCTTTACACACGATGACAACGTTACTTATAAGTAAATATTGATCATTTCGTAATTGAGTCTGAAGTTTATTGTAAATCCTGGTAACTGTGTAGCAAAATCCTACAACTGCATATTATTCTCTACTTTTTGCAGTTGATTATATTTCCAATTGGTGCGCATTAAATTGATCTATAGGTTTTAAAATATATAAACCTTTTTAGAAATTGCAGTGTGTGCTTCCACACAATTTTGTTTGGAGTAAATGACGTATAAAACGTCGTATAAAGGATATATGTAGTTATATTAGTTATCTTCAGACTATCTTTACTTTAAAAATTTAATTGAGACTTTCATTAGTTTCTTCGAATAATCAATTCGGAATATTTTCCAAAGTAAAACAAATGGATTGGGAAACAATAATATCTCATTCGCATGTTTTCCGCACTTTCAATAAAAGATCAGATTGTCAGACATTTTTAAATTTTTACAAGTGAAACTCTCTTAGCATTCCAACCAATAAAAACACACACTCAGGCACAGTGTTTTGCAATTGCCAGCTTTCAAGTATCATAAATAATTGCGATGACCGCATCTTCAACTGGTACAGGATGTCGCAACAAAAAAAATATAAATTACTTCAATTATTAATTATGAATATTTATTTAACACTCAGATGAACAATACTGTAAGTTTCAGTAATTCAGGACGCTTCGCACAAAAGCTATGTTCTTCCTTGAATATATTTCAAATGATATAGGTTCTGTATTTTGGAGTCACCCTGTAAGCTTTGTTTAAGACCTAGGCCGCATTCTAACAAAATGAGTCGACTTGTTGTTTCCTGCTAAACCGGAGCGCTACATCGGGAATATCCCTACTACGAAAAAAGAGTTTCAACTCGTTGTAGACTAACAAGAGACGCTAAGCAAGTTTAATTAGAAGGAGAGGATAAACGAGCAAATGTATATTCACAACCAAATATGAGAGCGTGACTTGTTTGAACAAAAGGGGTTTGTACGTGTCGTCATTTATTTGGCGGTTGGACACAACTATGTTGGCATCGTATATGTTCATTATCCATATCCAACAATTTCAATGTCAAACCGAGACCATTCCGTTACTACCAAAGTTAGTATGTTTTTGCAACATAAAAAAATGAGTCCATAGATTTGAATCAAATGAACTTCGAACTTGGACATAGTATTGTTTCATTTTTATCAATCTCATCACATCAATAGCGGGGCTACACGGCCTATAAGTTGGGCCATGTTCCTCTTCATTGTCCATCAGGTATTGTGAAGGAGTACACAAAGTCATGGCAATATTATTGTGATACTGATACGTACGCGATATATCTAATTTGGTGTAATTTCTAATAAAACTTGAAGCCGTAATCACTTTTTAAAAACGATTTTCTAGTGTTTTATATTTATTTTGTTGGAACAATTGTCATGAATATGCACGCAAAAAGAAACAAATTAGTGAGAGATACACCTACATGAGAAAACTAACCATGTCAGTTTAGGCATGTTTCGTAGACACACTGAATGGACTAATTGCGATATCAACGAATACCTGTAAAGAATGAACACTGAATAAAACTGAACATTCCATCGGTATTTTCCTAAATCCAAGGCAAGCTAACTCTGAAACTTGTTCTCTAATTTCCTTCTTGCACGCTATCAGTCAATGCTTGATCGCAAGACTGAAACAAAAGCTGTCTGACCCAGCGTCATTCGAGCATTGCATTTTGGCGCCATAATTTGAACCGGGAAACCACCGGGTTGAAAAACCCGATTGTATGTTAAGATAGTCATGAACACATGATTTCTTTTAGAATAAAAAGGGTTTGTTTTTTTAGTCATCACTGGCGCGCTGAATACTTTATTAATTGGGCGTAATGGTTAGGACCTTAAGAACGCATACTACGTTCCGATGTCTGCCATCTTAGTTCACATACTTAGTACCGGTACCCAATCTTCATGTTTCTTCATTCTTCAAGTTTCAATAAAAAGGACAAGGCCGAATCAAGACGATTTTGTTACTTCCAATAGATAACCCTTTCGCATATCAGCGACTGCTTGTACAGAGCCTTGTTCGGAGTGAAAGGCCTGAAAACACCGTCTAAAACATGTCGACAAAAATACCTGTTTCAATGTGTTGAGTCTATAGGTTTGAATCGCATGAATAGCGTTTCATAATAGACTTAACAGTTTTTATAGATTTTATTACACCAGTAACGGGCGTAATGGTTTATAAATAAGGCCATGTTCTCCTCCACCGCCTATGAGCGTTGTAAAAAATACACAAAAGTAAAGGCAATATTATTGAGATACATACGATGATGTAACGGATTGTGGTGTTTACAGGAATAAAAACTTTCAAGTCCTAATCACAGGTCTTTATCTCTTAACACAGTACATAACAAAAACCCAATTAGCCACGTGCTTATTTACGAGCCATATTTGCACATAGGTATAAAACGAAAGTTGAGATAGGCAATAAACTTTAGGAACTTATTTATAATAAAATGATTTATGGCAAAATAAGTATTTCACATTAGCAATTTTTACCAGTGCAAGTAATATATTGTTGTTGTTTTTTACACTCAAACCCTAGTCATGATTATGCCAGACAAAGAAACAAATCATTTGCCTCACATGAGAAAACCAAGCATGAAAACAAACTCTTATCCGAGCATAAAGACCAACAGTCAGTCATGCTTCGTAGACACACTAAATTGACAAAACACTCCGGGTAAACCCTATCAAGGCTATCACAATAAAACTCTCAGAATAAAATCGCGCAGTAGCATACTGAGACGAGAGAATGGTATTACCGTAGTATGTGTACCGGGGTAGGCCATACTTTTATTTCAATTTTCCCTATTTAAGTTCTATTACAAGTTCGGGGACTATCCAAATGACTCCCGTAGTATTTGTACCTGAAATTAGGGCCTAACCCTGACCTGGTACAAATACTACGGGAGTACCAGATTTTCCCTATTTTAGTTCTATTACGAGTTCGGAGACTATCTGTGTTAGCCAAGTGATTATGCCCATAGGTTTCAGTCCCTTCACACAACTTCATGCAAAGTAGGCGAACAAAATTAGTTACCACCATATTGGTACACATACTTCTGGGCGCCGAGAAATATGTAATCACTATGTCAACGTATAAAATTAAACAAAACATCACCTGCACAATACATACGAATGGTACAAAGCTGTGAACTACACTCGGAATCTGTCACATATTACTTGTGAAAGCTATTGTCATGAACTGACTGACCTTTATAGCTATAATGACAGTTATCAATTCAAACAGCATAAACTGAGCGTAAAATTCGAAAGACTGCTAGTCT